CCAGCCCACCAGCGGCTCCATGGGAGAAAAATGTAGCGGTCTGCTTCCCTAAAGATTTACAGCCTTGGAAACCCTATAGGGCAGTTCTACTCCACCCTATAGGGTACCTATAAGTTGGAATGACTCGACAACAAAGGGTTTGGTTTGATTTAGTAGTTTCAATACCAGCAGGTGGCGTATTTATTAACATTTTTTTCAAGCTAAGAAAAATTTGAGAACCAATCTGAATAACTAAAATTAGAAATGTTGCCTTTTCGCCATTCCTATTCTGCTTCTCTCAGGAGAATATAAGAATACAAACAGAATAATCTTTGTTTTGCCATTGCATTTTGCTATTGCATTAGGGAGAATTTGAATTTTGTATCAAGTTACTAAATAATTCACTTTTTCTGCAGTACGATATATCTGGTTAAAATCTCAAACCATTGCCAATCTTCACAATTAGGAATGAAGGTGTCAAGAGTTTTGAAACATGATGGATGTGATCAAAGGACCTTAACCCCGGGGAACCAGAAAGCCAGGTGCTTTCATAGAATCAAGGTGCTGGTAGCCACAGTGTGTCATGGCTTGTGTGCTGGGATATTTTGTTGTTTTCAGCGCTTCTGAAAATTTCCTAGATGGGACCAGAGGGTCCAATTTAGCCTGGAACCAATCTCTTCTCCCATACTGATCTCACACCCCAAAGAATACCCGGGGCTAAGAAGACCTGATGATCTGCTTCTCTCAGGGAAAGCTGGAAGTGGAGACTTGATTGAGTTGGAATCCCTGCAGAAGGGCTCAAATCAACCTCTGTGTTAGTAGTCTGGGCACAAAGTATCCTCAGAATCTTTAAAACAATCTGAGGGTCTTTGAAAGGAAGCTAAATGAAATTCCCTAATCCTCACCCTTTGTGATTTTAGCTGAACTTGCTCTAAAAGCATCTTGCAAATGGCCTCCCGTATTTTGTTTTAGCTTGCTCCAAGATGGAGGAGAAGACAGGGGTCATTTAGGCTTTCAGAGGAATACCAAATTCTCTGTGCTCATTACAAATTCATTCAACAAAGTAACTGCTTATAGTCAATAAACCTTTTTATTACCATTTCTGGGAATTTTATCCTATCATATATCAGACATTTTGAAAGGAGTAGAAGGTATTTAACTTCGTAAAATGCCCTTTCATAATAGTGACTCTTATAAGGGTTTTCAATCAAACGTTATAGCTTTCTTTTTCACAATAAAACTCATTGCAACACTTCGGGAACTACAAGATACTATATAGAGAAAAATAAAGATTACCTGTAATTCTACTGGACTTTTGAATATATACACATCCCATGTTTTATAAATGAAATAGTTTGTTGGTTTTTTTTTAACATGCTCTTTCACTTAAACATGTATTTTGAACATCTTCACATATTAATAAATATAGATATACCACATTATCTTAAAAAACTATGGCATTTATGCTAATTTTTTATAACCTAAAGCTGCTCTAAAAAAATAAAGTCTATTAATTAAAAAACATGACTTGGGGGAGCAGTACTTATACTACCAAGTATAAATTTCTCTAGGGATTTTTTAAAATTAAGGAATAACATATACAGTGCATAAATTTTTGTATATATCACAGTGAATTTTTACACATATAAGGCTTTTTATAAGACAATAATGTGTTATATAATTTTTAAGTTATCTATCTGTATACACAAATCAAAATGGAGAATTAAATGACTTCGTTGGAAAATTTAAGAAAATTACTTATGGGAATCCTTTGGAATTTGCTCCCTACTGAAACATAAGCTCCATGTGAGCAAAGATTTTTGTCTTTTATGTTCTTTGCTGAATCTCCATACATAAAACAGTGAGTAGCACAAAACTGGTGCTTAATACTTACTGAGTGAATAACTGAATGTTCCTGGGGGAGGAAGCGGAGTCGTTTATTGGTTTTGTTTTGGAAGCAGTATCAGAATTGAAGGCCAGAGACCATTGAGATAGACTACCTTGATTGACTCTTGGCTCTATCACTTAATAGTTATTTTACCTTGGACATGTTACTTAACCTCTCTCTACCTTAGTTTTCTCTTCTACAAATTGGGTATTACAGGGTTGTTGTGACGATTAAATGAATTAATAGATTTAAATCATTTAAAATAGTTTCTCGTATGTGACAAGTAGGTAATAAATGTTAGATATTATTTTGCATGTATGGCTAACTCTCCTCATATATGTGGTTGTAAAATATCCCTGTGAAGTCGGTAATATAGGCTATTTCACAAATATTGTAAACTTTTTTTTTTTTTAGTTTCTCATTTGATACTTTGTACATAAAGTGTTCCATGACATCGGTTTCATTCACCACAATGTGTCAGCACTCTTCCCATTTCTGCCCTAGGTTCCCCATTTCCTTTCTTCCTGATTTTCTACCCCTTCCTGCCATCTCATCTTTGCTTTTGGGCAAATATTGCCCTTTCGATTCTCATAAAATTGATTGTTCTAAGTAGTATGTTCTTCTTGGGTGTGATTGTTTATTTTATGGGCCTGTCTATAGTTTGGCTGAAAGGTGGTCTCTGGAATGGCTTCATTTCGAGGTCACAAGGGTATCTTAAGGCCATGGTCTTGGGGGTTCTTCAGTCTCTGTCAGACCAGCAAGCCTGATGTTTTTGGGGAATTAATTTTTTTTGTTCTAGTATTTTCTCCCACTCTGTAAGGGGCCCTCTGTTGTGATCCCAGTCATAGCGCTCAGTAGTGGCAGCCGGGCACCATTTAATTCTTCTGTGGTTCATGTGGTCCATTAGTCCTCTGGACTAAATGCTCCCATGAGTTTTTGGTTTTCCTCACTCTCCTTCACTCTGGATGGTAAGAAACCAACAGATGGCCGCCAGCAAGCTTTTAAGACCCAAGGTGCTACTTACCAAAATAGGACGCAGAACTTTGTCTTTATGAGCTATGTTGTGCAAATTTACATAGACGCCCCTGAGTCTATAGTCCTTCGCCTTGGAGCCCAAATACCCTCGAGGTATTTATTTATGTCTAAGAAGTTGTCCTGACTGACCCTTGTGTGCTCTATTGTCTATATTAATATATAAGCAGCACCTATGGTTAATAGCTTGTCTGCTAACCAAAAGGTCAACAGTTCAAATCCACCAGCGCTCCCTGGAAACCCTATGGGGCAGCTCTACTCTGTCCTATGGGGTTGCTATGAGTCAGAATCGACTGGACAGCAATGGGTTTTTACAGTTATGTATGTAGAAACATCCACCACCAAACCTGTATCTGCAGGTGGGTTATGTTGTAAATCTTGATCTCTTCACCAAAACCATAGAGAACTTCTCTTCTGGGTTTGCGTGTAAGTGTAAAAACCAAAGCTCCACCTTTGGGGGGGACACAGGGCGCCTGCCAGGGGAATAAACTACAACTCCCAGGATTCCTTGGTGGCGCCCCCTGGGAGTTGTAGTTCATTCCACTCCCCCACCGATCCACTATGCCCTGGGCGGCTACTCGGAGAGGTGTGGCGCAGGATTTGTCTCCTGAGTTTTTTTTCATTGCGTGGTTGTTTTTCTTTTGTAACTCCTGTTAGCACAAGACTAGTTTTCTGGGGACTGGTTGAGACGGAGGAGGTCCCGGAAGCTAGCGTTACCCCGGAAGGAGTGAACTAGGAAGTGAAAGTGATCCCGAGTCTGTCGGGCTGAAATGTAGCGGGTTACAGAAGGTTCCGTTTCATAAAGAAATCTAACGTCGTTTCATCGTTTTCTTAGGTACTCAAAATTCTTTCCTGATCTTAAAAAGGGCTTTTCCTTTTCCCAGTTTTATTCCTGTTGTCTTAAAGTCCCTCCTCATGGAACCATTCTGTGTCTTAAGCTGAGTTACACAGAATGGCTTACACGTGCTGCTCCAGCGCGGAAGTAGGGGCTCGGTGTCAGTTCTCATGTGCCGACATTGAGAAACGTTCCTAGAGTCTCAAGAGTAATCCTGTTAACTGTGGTGGGTGATGGAGAAGACTTGCTGTTCTTAGGTATGGATAACCGTAGAAACGTCTTGGTTTGCTTTTCTTAACTTTGAGGTTCATGACCTTCAGAGTCATTCTACTATGGTTCCTAAGATGGACGTTTTAGCCAGAAGTATTCTAACGAAAAATTTGTTTGCCATCCGTTTATTTTGTCCGTTATCAAATACCTGCACCTCCTCCGATGTGCTGGAGACTAGATGTAAAGAGACCCAGAAACTTCTCCTAGGGGAGTGTAAGAGAGATGTGGATACTGGGGATCACAGCCCTGCTGGCCCAGTGATTGAGAGCTCAAGCTGCTAACCAAAAGGTTGGCAGTTCGAATCCACCAGGTGCTCCTTGGAAACCCTATGGGGCAGTTCTACTCTGCCCTATATGGTCGCTGTGAGTCTGAATGGACTCCACAGCAGTGGGTTTGGGGGTTGGTGCCTTCATCCACTGTGCCTTCTGAATATGACTCAGTATTTTAAAGTTTATCAGTAGAACTCTGCAAACTTTGAATATTTTAGAGACCATTCAGTGTATTTTATTTCCTAGGAGATAATGCTATCTAAGTTAGCAGACTTACAATGATCAAATGAACTCATAAACAAATGCACCTACTACATGCTAGGAACATTGGAGACAATAAATGTTGATTCTGATACATTTTGACCTTTATTTCAACTTTAAACTCTGCATTTTAGGGGCAAAGCAATTTTCTTAGAATGTTTTATCTTTTCTCTTTCTTACTCAAAAAAACTATTTTCTGTTTTAGTTAGCTTTTAATTATTGGAGGGGAAGAGAACAGATAACTATTGTACACAGCCAGTTTGACTTAACCTGTAATTTATTTAATTAACTGTTTTTTTTTTTCTGTTTATAAAAGTAGTATGTGCTGTATGTGTGGAAGACTTGGAAAACACTGAAAAATAGAACCAAGCAGAAGGTATACATAACCACACAACCTAAAGATCATCTTATTAACATTATGGCATGTTTCTTTATTCGATTTCCTTTTTCACACTCTATATACCTTTCTAGGACCCCTGTTGGTGCAGTGGTTGAGCACTTGGCTGCCAATCGAAAGGCTGGTGGCTTGAACTCACCAGACACTCCAAGGGAGAAAGTTGTGGCAGTCTGTTTGCCTACAGATTTACAGCCTTGGAAACCCTATGAGGCAGTTTTACTCTGTTCTCTAGGGTCACTATAAGTCAGAATTGACTCGATGGCAATGAATTTGGTTTTTGGCTTGGATCTACCTTTTTACATGTATGCAGTATATTGTAGAATTTTTTTAAAAACATAATTGAGATTAAATGGTTTTGTATTGTGCTTTCTCACTAAATATAATTATTGTCATTGTCCTATTTTCACCAGTTCTATTACTTACTTGGCCTGTTAATATTTGAAGTCTTCTTCCTTTAGGATATCAGCTGAAAGGGCAGCACATTTGAAGAGTAATCGCTGAATAGATAATGAAAAGCACTGAACTCTGAACAGACCACCTGCACTCTAATACCACCTCTGCCTCTGTTCAGCTGAATGAATGATCATGATTGAATTACTTGACTTCTTTGGAGCTAAAATGAAAGAATTAGACAAGATAATAGTCAATATTTCCTTCAAGCTTTAGAAATGTATGAATAGGTAATTAAGTTTTAAGATTATTTCATACCTTTCAAGTACTTGTTCACATACTCAATTCTAGATTCTGGATACTTTCTCGAAATTAGCTGATTTAACCCGTTCTTCTGATAAATTAGTTATAAACCCGTTGCCATAGAGTCGATTCCGACTCATAGTGACTCTACAAGACAGAGTAGAACTGCCCCATAGGGCTTCCAAGGAGCAGCTGGTGGATTCGAACTACCAGCCTTTTGGTTAGCAGGCAAGCTCTTAACCACTGCACCACGAGGGCTCCTAAAGGACTACTAAAGTCCCTTATAATAGGGAAAAACAACCTCAGTCACCTTCATTGGCGGTATACTAAAATATGTTTGTAAGACTGGCTGATAAAGTAATAAATGGTTACTGATACAGGGGAGAAGAGTGACTATTCGTTTCTCAGATCGGTGAGAGACAGTGAATCATGGAAGCTATGAATTGAAAGGACTATACCAAACCCGTTGCTGTCTAGTTGATTCGGACTCATAGCGACCTTATAGGACAGAGTAGAACTGCCCCCATAGTGTTTTTAAGGCTGTAATCTTTATGGAAGGAGACTGTTACATCTTTCTCCCATGGAGCGGCTGGTGGGTTCGAACCACCAGTCTTTCAGTTAGCAGCCAGATGCTTAACCACTGTGCCACAAGGCCTCCTTGGAAGGACTCTAAGGTTATTTAATCTAGTGTTCCAAGTTTAAATCCCTGCTAGGACCAGGATTGGAGAAAAACTCATTAACAACCTGCAATATACAAATGACAAAACCTTGCTTGCCGAAAGTGGTCAAAGACTACAGCCTTAGTTAATTGGGTAGGTGAAAAACAAAACAAAACAGTTTTTTTCTGTTTAGTATTTTATTAGTCAGAGGATTGAAGAAGTATTTTCATTTTCTGAGCAGGTGAGTTTTACAGCTGTTTTTGGAGTTGACTGAGGCAGCGAGCTAAATATGATTTCTTGATGTTCCATCCAGCTTTATTATACCATTTGTCCATAGATTTGATTTTTATCACATTGTGTTTATTATATTTCAGATGCTGAGATGAACCATCACCTGTGTGTTTGGCTCTTTAGACATCTGTCACTCGATGGTTACCACCAGCATCACATCCGCCTTCGTTCTCAACAGTTTAGACAGATACATCTTGACACAAGGATGTGGATTTTTAGACAAAACAGGAATTACATTCTTCATTCTCTGTTAAGTAAGAATTCGTCCAGAAGATACTGTCATCGAGACACCAGGATGCCATGGAAGCATAAAGCACTACAGAAATATATGGGGGACCTCAACAAGGAGTACCTAAAACTTGATCAGTGTTTGCACCATATCGCTGTGAATGAAGGTGATCGAAGGTCCTTGAACCAAAGGCATGCTGAATTGGCACCACTAGCAGCTATTTATCAAGAAATTCAGGAGGCCGAACAAGCAGTTAAAGAATTAGAATCAATGTGTGAAAGTAGGTAAAAGATATATGTGTGTAGAACTACAGTATTGCCTTTTCAATTTAAACTTTATTGAACTCAGTCCTTTTAAAAACCTACAAGTAATAAGCTCTACACTTGGAAAGGATAGGACTCTATACTCTGCATGCTTGACTTATTTCAGCTATTAAAGATTAGCTACTATGTGATTGAGCTCCTTGTGCTTGCTAAAAAGTTCCTAGGGTCTGTTCGACTCAATATTAACGTTTTCAGAAGGTTTAATTTATTCAAAAGACCTGAATTGAGCACTGTCGTAGGTACCAGGGACCCAGAAATATAGTTCCTGCCCTGCCAAAGGGCTTACACAATCTACAGAGAGAGACTATATATACTTTTTATATTTATTTCTGTATTATTAATAGTGTGATACATACTCTGTTAGAGGAGGGTACAGGGTTCCATAGAAGCAAATAGGAGAGGCACTCAAACCAGACAAGATAGGTCAGAAACCTGGATGAGACTACACCATAGTTGAGTAACAAAGCTTTGTGTTTCTTTCGTGTTGTATGCCTTGAAATTTTTCTTTGATTTTTTTTCTGAATATAGTTTTAGAGTTAGTAAAATTTCTATATGTTTAATGAATGGAAATATTTCTAAGACAAACAGCTGATAGATTTCTTAGAACCATGGAATTATCCATTGTCACCATGATCAAATAATAAGCCTAAGTGTCTTCACTGTTACTTCACTTTGAGCACCAAACCAAGTGTCTCCATTCAGACAAGGCTCCATTCTCCAGCAGTTTACACACTACCAACCTGGTGTTTAAGAAAACCAATTTCACCTGCTTTTCAGATCTTGAACCTTTTAAAATCTGGGTATGTATATCCTTGGGTTGCCACTCTACGATTTTGAGGTTGATGTTTTTGTGTGCCATCAAGTCGATTCCAACTCCCAGCAACCCTATAGGACAGAGTAGAACTGCCGCATAGGGTTTCCTGGGCTGAAATCTTTATGGGAGCAGATCACCAGGTCTTTCTACCACAGAGTGGCTGGTGGGTTCGAACTGCTGACCTTTTGATTATCAGCCAAGTGTTTAACCGTTGTGCCACCAGGGCTCCTTGGATTTCAAGGTGGAGTTATCTAAATACTGGCTGTATATTTCATGTAGAAGTTTAATTAAAGTAATTTATTTCTAGGAATTTGGTAAGGTTAATTCAGTGATTCATTTAGTCATTTAGTCAGCCAGCATTTACTGAGGGCTTTTTATATGCCAGGAGTCCCTGGATGGTATAAACAGTAATGTGCTTGGATGCTAACCTAAAAGTTGGAAGTTCAAGTCCACCCAGAGGTACCTCGGAAGAACAGCCTGGTGATCTATTTCTGAAAAATCAGCCATTGAAAACAGCTGATAGATTTCTTAGAACCATGCAAGTATCCATTGTCACCATGATCACATAATAAGCCTAAATGTCTTCACTGTTACTTCACTTTGAGCACCAAACCAAGTGTCTCCATTCAGACAAGGCCCCATTCTCCATACTACATACAAATGAAAGAATGTGATAAATGCCAGATTCACAATATAAATAAAGCACCATAGTGACTCAACAAAGGATATAATTGATTCTGTCAGAAATGGGTGGGGTAGACTTTTTAAATAGGCTTTGAAGAATGATTAGAATTTCTCTAAAGAAAGAAGAATGAAGGACATTCCGGACAGAGGGAACAGTATGTGCAAAGCTAAGGGAAGGTGAGACTGTAGCAGTTTCAGGAAATGGTAGTGGACTGCCATGTAGCGTGTAGTTTATGGTGCAGAGGGACAGTGTCTTAGCCTGTTAAGTTTGTGATGGGCCTTGATGTCCTGCTAAGGAGGTTTTAGAATCCACATAAGTGTAGATACTGTGAAAGTATACCACAGATAGGGGAGCCTTCTAACCAGTGGAGAGGTGTTTATTAATTTTTTAAGGCTTTATTAAGATTATAATTCACACACCACAAAATTCACACATTTTAATGGCTTTAAGCATAGTCACAGAGTTATGTAGCCATCATCACAGTCAATTTTAGAACATTTTCATCACCTCAAAAAGAAATTCTGCACCCCTTATCCATCACCCTCCAAACCCCCCTTCCCTGCCAACCCTGTTGTTAGTTGCTGTCGAGTTGATTCTGACTCTTGGCGACCCCATGTGTGCAGGGAAAGCTGCTCCATAGGGTTTTTAAGGCTGTGACCTTTCAGAAACAGATCACCAAACCTGTCTTCTGAGGCACTTTTGGATGGGTTCGAACCGCCAACTTTTCAGCTAGCAGTGGAGCTCTTAACTGTCTCTGCCATCCAGGGACTCCATGGGTAGCACATAGTAAGTGTTAAATGTTGCAAGTGTGGAAGGTGCAGAATCCAACCAAGCCCTAATGACTTTCAGGAGTAGAAAAGAATTGAAAACAGACTTCTTTCCTTTCTAATTGTGATTCTTCATTTCTACTTTTAATTTTTTCTTTGTAATTATGAAGAAGCAAACATTTCTGCCTCAAGTTGCAGCCAGCAGCACTGACAAATGAAGTCTCTAGGCATCTAAAGCAGTGGAGTCTGAGGCCCTGGAAGCTACCATCCTTGACCACTATTTCATTGTTACCTTACTTTGTAAGAAGTCTATGCTTTAATTTTCTGCTTTTGAAATGATGTGAAAAGGATTGTTTACGTAAAGCAAAGGTTGCAGAGATGTGCTTTGTTTGACACAAATGGTAGTTTTTGAAAATGTGGACCGCATATGAACATATAAAGCTCAAGAGATTTCAAAATTTTAAAAGTTCTTATTTCTGACTTTTTTTGAAAAATTGGAGGATCCAGCCATGCTAAACCCACATCACAGTGCACTGAGTAATGGCTGCCATCTTCAGACAAGATGTGGTCACTTCAGTTTGCTCCAAAATTTATCTTATTTGGGTTTAGATTTTTAATTACCAGTTCCGTTTTGAACCTTCTGTTTAATTAATCACTGGTTTCTGTAATTATCGTTGTTCTTAGGTGCCATCGAGTCGGTTCCCATTCATAGCGACCCCACATACAACAGAACAAAAAATTGCCTGGTCCTGCGCCATCCTTAACAGTTGTTGCTGTGGTTGAGTACATTGTTGCAGCCACTGTGTCAGTCCGTCTCATTGAGAGTCTTCCTCTTTTTCGCTGATCTTCTACCAAGCATGATGTCCTTCTCCAGGGGCTGGTCCTTCCTGATAACCCGCCCAAAGTATGTGAGAAACTCGCCATTCTTGCTTCTAAGGAGCCTTCTGATTGTACTTCTTCCAAGACAGATTTTTTCGTTCTTCTGCCAGTCTGGGGTATCTTCAGTATTCTTCGCCAGCACCATAATTCAAAGGCATCACGGTCTTCTTATTCATTGTCCAGCTTTCACGTGCACATGAGGCAATTGAAAATACCATGGCTTGGATCAGGCGCACCTTAGTCCTCAAAATGACATCTTTTTAACACTTTAAAGAGGTCTTTTGCTGCAGATTTGCCCACTGCAATGTATCGTTAATTTCTTGACTGCTGCTTCCATGGGCATTGATTATCAATCCAAGTAAAATGATATCCTTGACAACTTCAGTCTTTTCTCCATTTATCATGATGTTGCTTATTGGTCCAGTTGTGAGGATTTTTGTCTTCTTTATGTTGAGGTGTAATCCATACTGAAAGCTGTGGTCTTTTATCTTCATCAATTAGTGCTTCAAGTCCTCTTCACTTTCAGCAAGCACGATTGTGTCATCTGCATATCACAGGTTGTTAATGCATCTTCCTCCAATCCTGATGTTGTATTCTTCATATAGTTCAGCTTCTCAGATTATTTGTTCAGCATACCAATTTAATAAGTATAGTGAAACGATACAACCCTGATGCCACATTTCCTGATTTTAAACCATGCAGTATCCCCTTGTTCTGTTTGAACAACTGCCTCATTGTCTATGTATGGGTTCTGCATGCACATAATGAAGTGTTCTGGAATTCCCATTCTTTGCAATCTTATCCATAATTTTTTAAGATTCACACAGTCGAATGCCTTTGCATAGTCAATAAAACACAGATAAGTATCTTTCTGGTATTCTTTCAGCCAGATCCATCTGACATCAGCAGTTACATTCCTCATTCTAGGACCTCTTCTGAATCTGGCTTGAATTTCTGGCAGTTTCCTGTGAATGTACTGCTGCAGCCATTTCTGAATTATCTTCAGTGTAATTTCACTTGCATGTGATTTTAATGATATTGTTCAATAATTTCCGCATTTTGTTGCATCGCTTTTCTTTGGAGTAAGCATGTAAAGGGATCTCTTCCAGTCAGTTGGCCAAGTAGTTGTCCTCCAAATTTCTTGGCATAGACAAGTGAGCACTTCCAGCATTGCATCTGTTTGTTGAAACATCTCCATTGGTTTTCCGTCAGGCCTGGAGCCTTGTTTTTCGCCAGTGCCTTCAGTGCAGCTTGGACTTCTTCCTTTACTACCGTTGGTTCTTGATTGTATGCTGTCTCTTGAATTGGTTGAATGTCAACCAGTTCTTTTTGGTACAGTGACTCTGTATTCCTTCCATCTTTTTTTTTTGTTTGTTTGTACATTAGGTGAAAGTTCACAGAGCAAGTTAGTTTCCCATTCAATAAGTTGTACTTAAAGTGTTTCATGACTTCAGTTTCATTCCACATAATGTGTCAGCACTCTACCCATTTCTGTCCTAGGTTCCCCATTTTCTTTCATAGTGCTTTTCTGCCCCCTCCTGCGTTCTCATCTTTGCTTTTGGGCAGATAATGCCCTTTTTTAAAAAAAAAATTTTTTTATTGTTGTGCTTTAAGTGAAAGTTTACAATTTAAGTTAGTCTCTCATACAAAAATCTATACATACATTGTTATGTGACCCTAGTTGCTCTTCATATTCTGTGACAGCACACTCCTCCTTTCTACCCTGGACTTCCCATGTCCATTCAACCAGCTCCTGACCCTGTCTGCCTTCTCATCTTGCCTCTGGACAGGAGCTGCCCATTTAGTCTCATG